TTTGGGTACGGGCATGCTGACTTCCAGTGGCCAGGCTTCCTGCAGTTATAGCATAAATAAGATTCAGGAGGGGAGTCACTTACCTGTGGCTTTCCCTTGGATGGCCTTCTGATTGAATCAGCCTTCTTGAAGAACTTCTTGAACTTCCGGAATTGTTTGACCATCATGGCAAATTCCTCTTCGTAGTTCTCCATTTTTGAGCTTGACGGCTGGCTGGAGGAAGGTGTGTCACAGTTTCTTGTGCATGTCCCTTCACTTGATGGAATTCTTGAAGTTGTCATCAATGCCGTGGGGAAGGGAGTGACTTGTTCTTCCTTCTTCTTTTTCAGCTCGTGCTCATAGGTTCTGAGTTCATCAAGCAGACCTTGAACAGTGTAGTTTTCCAGGTTTCTTCCTTCTTCCATGGCTGTGGCTTTGGTGTACCACTCAGTTGGGAGTGATCTCAGCAACCTTACATTCTTTTCTTTGGGAGAAAGAATGTGGTTAAGTGAGGCAAGATCATTCAATATTTTGTGGAATCTTTCATCCAACATATAAAATGATTCTGCGGGAAGCATTTTGAAGCTTTTGAACTTCTCAAGCAGGACTTCTATCTTCTGCTTTCTCAGGTCCTCTGATCCCTCACATAGCTTCCCAAGACCTTACCAAATCTCCATGGCAGTCTTGAGATGCTTAATCTTGGAGAAGGTGATGGGATCAAGTGTCTTGAAGATGGCTGCTTTGGCGACGTTGTCCAGATTGTGCTTTTTGCAATCTCTATCATCCCATTTTTCTTTGGGCTTTGGAATGTACTGGACTACATCTGGAGCAGCTGGATTCCTCTCAGGGTTCTCCATTTGGATTTTCAAGGGTCCATCCTCAAGCACCATCCACATGCAATCATGTAGAGCGTAGAGATGTGCTTCCATCATGATCGTCCAATCATCATAACCTAGAAGAGAAAACTTGGGCAAACCGTGATCCATATTGTTCACCATTATGATCGCTTCTCGTTAATCTAAAAGTAGATAGTGAGAAACAGGCTCTGATACCAATTGGTGGTCCCGAAGTGGTGAGTTACAAAGTCTAAAGGGGGGGGGGAATAGACTTTGTTACAAATTTTAAAAACCTTTTCGTTTCTTTTGAGAACGTGAAAATGAGTGTTAATCTAGAGTTCTTGTGAACTTTAGATTATGTGCGGAAGTTGGTGGGAAGAGTGAGCAGTAATCAATATGGATGGGTTAGTTTTCTCAGTTAATATAATTGCAAGTAAGAATAAAGATAAAAGAGAGAGACACGCAAACTTTAACGAGGTTCGAAGGTGGGGTAATCCTTCTACGTCCTCAAAATCCACTATGTAGTTGGTTGTTGAATAATGAACCAACAATTACACTTGTGTGAATTTCTGCACGGTATATCTTCGCAAGGCCAATGTTGCTACTGCACTCGTGCTGGCTTTGTTGTTCCTTCGAAGGTCACGCTTCTTCAACAACTGCAAGGTCCGAACAATAGGACTTGCAA